CTTGAGCCCTGGAGTTTGAGGTTGCTGTGAACTATGACACCACAGCACTCTACTGAGGGTAACAAAGTAAGATTCTGTCTCAAAAAAAAAAAAAAAATCAAGAAAGAGATAATCTGTATTACTTAGAGCAGACCCATTATTTTCTAGTCCAAGTACATACAAGTAAGTATACTGACAATAAAGTTTAAATTATATGAAGAAGGGAATGCAAATAAAATAGTAACTTTTATTTTTAGAATCTTAAAATATTTGCATATACTTAAACGCCAAGAATGACAATACAACTGTCATTAACTGCTGATAAGACTGTTGAAACCACCCTCACAAATTGATGAAGGGGTGTAAGGTGAGAACTAGAGTAAAGGCCCCCCAAACTCTGTGAAGGCTCAAATAACAATAATGATCAGTCATTGTCCCTTCATCTGCTTGGTCATAGTCACTGTCTTCTTGTTGGTTTCTCTAAAAGACAGCTGGTAATTGTAAACATTCTCAACTTTTCTCCATAAATAACATCACCTGTCGTTTTTGAAATATCTTCCAGGTCCTGCATTCCAGTGATTTGGCTGACCCACCCAGACAGCGGCCCACATGAAAGGACTGTAGATTCCACCCCGCAACCAGCCAGCTAGCAGACCCTGATTGCCTAATCCTCTGCCCAACCAACTATCTTTAAAAACTCTGTTCCCTCAATTCTCGAGAAGGTGGATTTGAGAGATTTCTCCTGTCTCCCCTGGGTGCCCTGTGGAATAAACCTCTTCTGTGCTGGAACCTGCTGCCTCTTTCTGAATATTGGTTTCCTCTTGGATCGCGGGCAGATGAACATGGCTGGGGGGCAACACTACTGCACAGTCACAATCTTATCCACAAGACAACTTAACATAGAAACAGAACTGACTAAACCCAGGGTCAAACAGCTGGGAAGGCTTAGTGCTGTGGACTGTGGACGGAGGGGTGCTAACATAAAGATAAATGTATGGGGGAAGCAACTTCTCCCTCTCGCTTCCTTGGTTAATAGACTATAAATCTTCTTGAGTATTAAAGAAGATATTACTTCTTGAAAATTTTATGAGAGTTTCACTTTCTTTCCTTTCCTTTTTTATTTGTTTTTTAGGCAGAATCTCAATGATATTGAGATTATTGACGCCTTGGGTAGAGTGCCGTGGCACGTGGCATCATAGCTCATACCAACCTCAAACTCTTGGGCTCAAGCAATCCTCTTGCCTCAGCCTGAGTAGCTGGGACTTCAGACACCCGCTACAACACCCAGCTATTTTTAGAGACAGGTGTTTACTCTTGCTCAGGCTGGTCTCAAACTCCTGAGCTCTGCAATCCACTGGCATAGGCCTCCCTGAGTGCCAGGATTACAGGCGTGAGCCATCATGCCCCACCCCAAAAGTTTCACTTTCTGACTTAGGTTTAAACTAAGACATTTCCAGAACTGTGTGGTGTGTCAGGATATGTTAGTGAACCAATTGGTTTATGAGAACTTTAATTTCTTAGGCATCCTAATGGGGTCTAGGTTTTGAAAGGATGACTCACAGCAGGACTAAAGTACATGTATAATATATGTTACTATCATTTCTAAGCATTATGTGGAGTATAGCAGACTTGCAAATTACATTTGATAGAAATGATGTATAGCTAGTAAAGATTTTCCCAGTTTACAGACTTATCTCTGGATCCACTCCTTAACTTTTCCATTAAATTCTAGACTGTCTTCAAGTTCTCCATTATTATTCACTTTTCTCATTGTTTCCTTCTCAGTCATTTATTTCTTTTCATTTGTGCATTTATAAGTTTAAATAACATCTAGATGGATAAAGCACTGCGGACACGGTTTTAGGTGGCAGGGCTGCTTCGACCACAAAAGATAATAATCTTATTTGTGGAAAGCTTTTAGTTCTAGTAGAATAGTCAGATAAACATAAAATAAAAAATTAAAATCTATCAAGCCCAGACGAGAGATAAAGACTATTAAACATGGGGTGTGGAAGTGGGCAGATGGAGAAAGGGAAGATTCAAGAAAAATTAAGGAGGCTCAGCAACTGTAGCACAGTGTACAGTACCAGCCACATACACCAAGGCTGGTGGGTTTGAATCT